GCACATTCACACCTAGTGACAATTTGGATTTTCCACTTTAATAAGTACAAATATTTATTAAATTACATTTATTAAATGTAACAGCTAACCATACACCCAAAACTCTTACAGCATTTATAGGATTGTCCTGCATTTGTTTTCTCTCACAAACTACATCTGCAATAAAAGTGATATTACCTAATCATAGTTTACATATATGCTTTTGAAATGTATTTCATAATAATGACAATAATAATAGGCAGACGACCAAGTTTTCCAGTGGTGCCTGCAGTCATTATCAGTAATTAAGCATTTTTTAACTATTCATGAATACTCGAATTCATATCTCAGAAACCCCCAAAAGTTGATTCTGTTCATCTGGACGTAGCCTCTTCAGTGGGAGGAACGTTTTGTGACTTCTTCAGTGGCTCGTCACACAGAAGAGCTACCTCAAGGACTCCACGGTCTTTCATTTTGTAACGTATTCTGTTACGTTACTCAATGAGAGTAGAATATTCTGAATAGTCTAAGGAGCTTGGAAAGAAAAGCATCTGGACTTCTTTGAGTTGCTTGAAGACGTTTCACCTCTCATCCGAGAAGCTTCTTCAGTTCTAAGGTCAAATGGTGGAGAGTCCCAGATTTAAACCCAGTGGGAGTTTCCCCCCAAAGAGGGACAAAGGATTAATTAATTAATTGATTATAAAAATCTGTTGGAAACCCGTCTGGACCAGGGGCTTTTCCACGCTGAAGGGACGTTATTGCATTTTTAATTTCTTCCAGCGTCAGACTTTGTTCCAATTGTTCTTTCCAGTCAGAGTCAATTATAGGAATATTCAGATTGAAAAAAAAAACGTTGAACTTATTTTGAGCTGGTGCTGAATCTCAGGAATATAATTTAGCATAAAACTCTCTAAAATAGTTGTTAATAGCTTGATGATCCTCAGTTGATGAGCCATCTGATAAGATCAGTTGTGAAATAACACGAGATTTCAAAATGAGCTTCTCTGCTTGGGTAGTAGTTAATAGATCAATTTCAGTTTGTAAGGCCACTCTCCTCTTAATCAAATCAGGGGTTGGAGAGCCAGATATGAGTCAATCTTCCTATACTTCTTCGTCCTCAAATATGCAGAATGAGAGATAAATTGTCCCCGGAGATACGCTTTAAGCGTCTCCCAGAGGGTCGAAGCTGAGATGCCATCCGTCCTATTTACCTGTAGAAAAAAATCGATTTGTTCTGTAATGAACTTCACAAAGTCTGAATCAGCCAGTAAGAGTGGATCCAGCTGCCATCAACAGGGATATTATTATTAATGTAGGCCAGCGCCACTGCAGGTTTCGGGAAACCTCAAGCGTTTCCCGTTGTGTGTGAACTGCAGAGTGGCTGGGTAGAAGAGACCGAACTTGACCTTTGCAGTGTGGACCTTCCTTTTGGACTGTGAGAAGGCTGCACGTCGTTAGTTGAGCTGTTCTGGGCTGTAGTCAGGAAATATGTGGAATCTCGATCCGTTGAATAGGAGCAGGCCCTTCTGTCTGGCGAGGCGTAGGATCAGCTCTCTGGTTTGGAAATGGTGGAGTCTGACAAAGAACGGACGTGATCTGTTGTCACCATCTGCTGGTTTAGGAGCCAAACTTCTGTGGGCTCTATCCACCGATGGCGGCCTCTCGAAGTTGTTCTCCCCAAGCACATCAAAGAGTAGTTTGGCGATGAATTCCGTTGGTAGTGGACCCTCCGTATTCTCTGGTATCCCCACAATGCATTTATACTGCCGTCTGGTTTAGTTTTCCAAGTACGCCACCTTCTCTCTTAAAGCCTCTTTCTCTTTAACTAGCGAGGATTGGGAGGTCTCCATGCTGCTCAGTCTCTTGTCAACCTCATTCGTTCCTTCTTCCATGTCGGTAATTCGTTGGCCGTACCCACTCAGGATTGAATGCAGAGAAGCAATAGATGCCCGGTTCTCCTCCCGAAGTGAGTCAATAGAGGCTTGTACCGCCGTAACTGCATTTGCTAGCGCGTCCATGCTGTTAGCTTCTGTTTCTGTACTGGTCGAGGAGTTTGAATCGCCCATGCGCTGAGTAATAATGAAAATATACATATATATATACACCGTGGTGGTCGCTCTGCATCAGCATCTAAAACCTTAACCTCATATTGTAAGTGGTGAAAGTAAATTGCATTTTATC